GGAGCGACTACGATACGAAGTCGGTTATCTAGGAGTATTAGCTAAGTTATTATTAGTAGAGGGCTATAAATATATATATTAGCCGCTAGGGCTTCTCGATATTACTAATTTAGTTTTAAGCGCTTCTTATTACTACGCTTAGGTATCGTAGGGTACCTTTAGCACTTAAAGAATATTAAGGGAATAGGGACGCGGGTATTTAAAATATAATTCGAAACTAACCCTTCCGCTAAAACACCGGCTTAATATAGGATCGATAATTCGTTCTTTCTTAAGTCGAAAGTGGTATCTATAGGTAGGGCCTACTAGTATCTATTTAAATTAGGTAAATAAAGTTTTAGCTAAAAACTTAGATTAGTTAAGACTTAGTTAAAAGTCGGGTATAACTTTTATAGAGACCTTATTAAGTAAACTAGACTACTAAAGAAAATATAGGAAAAGGTAACCTTAATTTCTATTTAAATATAGCCTTAATTATTAAGATTAGGTCGGTAAACGCTAGAAGTAATTTAGTTAGGGCCTCTTTACGCTACTAAAGATTTCTACCTTCTAAGGTACCGGCGGAACCCCGAAAACTAATACCACTAAGTAGACTATCGGGCTCGCTAATAATATCCCTAAAGATCTAGTAAAACATATATATAATAGATAGGGTTAGGTCGACTCTATATCTTTTATACCACCTATTTATTAAAATTATAATAACTCTAATAGCTCGCCGGCCCCGCCGCTAAAGACTAGCTAGCGACTACGATCTAATACTACTACTATATAACTCCTTAAATCTTCTACTATTAAAGATAATCACTCGCTATACCGGTCGTAATATTCGTACTAACTTATCGAGCCTACCTTCGTAGCGAGCTAAGAAGGTCCTTAAAATAAGGATCTATCGTCGATTTTATAGCTCGCACGTTATATTCCTAGAAGGATAGCCTAGTAGACCCTAAAGGAAGGGTGCTAAAGAAAACCCGCGCCGGAAGGGAGCGATTTCGGAGCGAGAGGCAATTCGATTAGATTAGATATAGCGACTTCGTCCTAAGCCCTATAGACGTTACTAGATCGGATAAAGATAGGGTAGATATAAAGCCTAGGGGGTAGTATACTATAATCACTAATTTCGTTATATTATTAAATATATTAAATTAACTTATAAGACACTAAGAATAATAATATAGTGCGTGATAAAGTAGCCTATAGATATAGACTCTATATAGGGGATTACTTAGCTAGGCAACCTATCGATTAATATACGTAATATTGCCGGTATATAAGAGGATAATTTCTACGCTTTTATAATAGCTATTATATATAATTGTATATATAAGTGTCTACTATAGAATAGGAAGAATTCTTAGAATTAGGGCGTATAGAACGGGCTAGAAGAAATATACTAGGATTTAATACTACTTAGTTACACGATATATATACTATTATCTATACTATTCTCAAAATTATATATATAAGTTTAATAGATATTTCTACGTAAGGGTATCTTAGAATACGTATTCTTTAAAGCGTATATCACTATATTACTCTAAGAGAGATCGTGCTATTCTATATACACTAAAGTAAGGGGAACGTAGTTTAGGGTATAGCTAGAGTTTATAGGGCGTTATATTTAATTTTTCTTTACCTAATTTTGACTTAAAAACGATCCGTTATATAATTCTTACGGATATTCTATCTTTTAGAGATAGTATAAATAGCAACCTCCTAGTTTTAGTAATCTTATCTAAGTTATCTATCCTATAGTATCTATATACTATAAGCTAGTAGATAAGTAAGGACCCACCTATTTAGCTTATAGGATTAACTATAAGGACAACGCCTAGATAGCGATAATAACTAGTTCGACCTATTAAGTGTTAGTATTATTAGTATAACGGTATAACGTTAGAATCTATAATTACCTCTAATATAATTATCTACGATCTCCCTAACGTACTAATAACGGTAATTATAAGTAAAAGAAGTGCTATTATAGAGAGATAATATAAGATAC